GGGGGGGGGGGGGGGGGGGGGGGGGGGGGGGGGGGGGGGGGGGGGGTGACAATGGCCACGAACTTCGATACACCGGTGTTCATTGACACGGCGGTTTCTACGATATGCAAATTGAAAATGCATCCGGATAAGCCGCGCTATTCGACTCGGCCCGACCCGGCCCGACACGGCCCGACTCGGCCCGATGCACAGGTTCGATATACGCGATCGCGAACCCGCCGGGAGCCGCGGAAAGTCACTTTAAAAGTTAAGGATCAATCAGTCGCCCGGCATTGTTCCCAGCCATTGTGCAACCACGTTGTTTATCGGCCGAAACGCGGCCAGAAACGATAATAATAATAGATGGCGCGGCGGCGAACGAAAGAAAGGAGACACAGCCTGCCGCACGCCGGTCCCAAATCCCGAAAACGTGGCCGAAACGTAAAGACGACGCGGTTTAAATGGGAAATTTATGACCGCAGGTTTTCATGGTCGTTGAATCTGGACTGGGAATTTGAAAGAAAACGGCGGATTCGACGTGTCTCACGAAACTCTTCTATACAAATAATTCAATTAATTAATAAAGTGCTCGAAGTAACGGTGAAAATGAACCTACGAAACAATTCAGTTTTGGGGGTTTTGGCCACGTTTTCGGGATTTCAGACCACTGTGCGACACCCTTTCGCAAAAAAAGTTAACCTTAAAATTATAACATAATAACATTATTAACATTATATTAATTTTTTATTAATTAATTAATTTATTATATTAATAAGATTACGACGTAACGTACTTAAAAAATTATTGCGAATTGTATTGTAAACTGATATGAATATTAAGAGACATTCCAGGTGCTAAATAAATAAAGAATTCATAACTGCATACGATTTTTATAAAAATTTTTACTATTATATTTTCGAGATTGTGAGCTGAAAAAGTACCTAAGCAATGTTTAACGCGAACCTACGAGAAAATCTCGGTTTTGGAGTTTTGGCCACGTATTTGAGATTTCAGACCACTGTGGACCAGGTCCCGATCGCGGGTAAAAAAAAATGAAACGTCCGAGCATAAAATATTGCGGCGCGTGAAATTAGAATTTCGACGAACCGCGAAACGCGAGAAGCCGCGCGTTCCGTTTCCGCGGCAACGTTGTAAAACGTATTCGAAATGTTTGCCGGTTCTCCGGCGATGCTTCCAGGCGATAAACATTTCGCTCGTTCCGCCTCAACGATCCCGGTTGTCGTTTCCCGATCGTCTTTGTCTTTCTCGTGGACACCGTCGCTTCGGCAGGTGCTTTTCAACCTGTCCCGCTTTTGTTGATTCGAAATTTAAGCTTCGTTCGCCGTGACAACGCCGCGACGCTTCGCGGAGAGTTATTTCTATGGTGTGTTCACGTTTCATCACGGCGAACTGTAGCCGATAGACAAATCCACCGAAATGTTTAATTTTCTAATGAGATGCCGAGTTGGCTGGAACGTAATGAAATTCTTTCCAGTCGACTGAGTATCTCGATGGAAAATTGAATATATGAGCCGTTTATTTTGAAAGTGGCATAAGTCACTTTGTTTTTAAGTCAAGACATTTAAGGGTTTGCGTTTGAACACCGTTTCAAAATATGGATGCTAACTTTCGAGAAGATTTACTTGTATTTGTTATCTCAGGATACTGATATTTTTCTCAGTATAAATAATTTCGTATAAACATTAAAAAATCACCACTTTTCATTACGGTAAAGTGACTTAAGCCACTTTCAAAATAAATAGTTTAGAAAAATGACTGACATATATTAATTTTGTCCGACGTATTTTACTGAAGTGATGAAGGACAGTGATTTACTAAAGTTGTTGAATAAATAACATATATGAGCCGTTTATTTTGAAAGTGGCATAAGTCACTTTTTCAAAAAAATCGAGTTAACAGTAACACCTGTCTCTTATACACATCTAGATGTGTATAAGAGACAGGTGTTACTGTTAACTCGATTTTTTTGAAAAAGTGACTTATGCCACTTTCAAAATAAACGGCTCATGTTGCAATTTTGAACATTTCTTTGGGCGTTGTGCTTTTAAGTACCACTGAAAAAATTCGATTACTTTCCTGGCAACTTATTATCTCAATACAAAATTGAATATATTTTTCGGAAGGTTCAATTATAAAAATTTGTAAGGGTATCTTATTTTAAGATAATTTAGTTCCTCAAAACAAAATTGAATATTGTTTTCAAAAGGCACAATTTTAAAAATTTTAACAAATATTTTCTTTTAAGATAAATGACAAAATTTCATTAAATTCCAGTCAACTGAATATCTCAATGCAGAATTGAATATTCCTTTCAGAAGGCATAATTTAGAATATATTAAAATCTATTTTTAATTCGGCTGAAAAGCAACGAAATTCTTTCCAATCAACTTAGCATCTCAAGAGAAAATTGAATATTCTTTTCAAAAGGTTCAATCTTGAAATTTGTTGTAGATATCTTTCTTTAAGTTGGCTGGAAAATAATGGAATTCTTTCCAGAAAAGAGTATCTGAAAAAATTTTCAAAATTGAACTCTCTGAAGCCAATATAGTTATCTCCATACAAAATCAAATATATCTTTTGGAAGGTTCAATTTGGAAATTTTTTATTTCAATACAACGTTGAAAATTCTTTGCAAAGGATTCAATTTTGAAAATTTGTATGGTTATCTTCCTATGAGATAGCTGAAAAGTAAGGGAGTTCTTTCCAATTAACTTCAGAAAAGAGTGTCTAAAAAAATTTTCAAAATTGAACCCTCTGAAGCCAATAATTACCTCAATACTAAGTTAGAGGATTCAATTTGGAATTTTTTTGTAAATACTCTGTTTTTAATTTGGACGACAAAATTCCATTATCTTCCAACCAACTTAGTATCTTAATACAAAATTGAATATACTTTTCAAAGGTTTCAATTTTGAAAATTTGTATAGATTTTTTTCTTTAAAGTGGCTAAGAAGTAATGCAATTCTTTCCAGTCAACGTCAAAAAAGAGTATCTAAAGAGAATTGAATATACCTTTCAGCGGGTTCAATTTTTAAAATTTGTATAGATATTCCTTTTTGAGTAGGATGTAAAGAATTCAATTACATTCCAGCCATCTTAGAACATTTTTATAGTTATCTTCCTTTAAGTTGGCTGGAAAGTAATGGAAATCTTTCCAGTGAATTTAGTACTTCATCACAAGATTTGATATTGTTTTCAATTTTGAAAATTATTATACATATTACTTTCCAGTCAACATACAATTAGTATCTCAATACAAAATTGAATATTCTTTTCGGTGGGTTTATTCGTGAAAATATTAATGGATATATTTCTTTAAATTAGCTGAGAAGTAATGGAGTTCTTTCCAGTCAACTTCAGAAAAGAATATATGAAGAAATTTTCAAAATTGAAACTTCTGCAGCCAATTTAGTACTTCGATACAAAATTATACAATATACAATATACCTTTCAAAGAAGATGTAGATGTCTTTTTAAGTTGAATGAAGAAGATCCTATTACTTTCCTTTATTGTTTTGAAAGTTGGAGAAAAGAAATTACATTTCAGCCAACGTAGTGTCTCAATATAAAATTGAATATACTTTTCAAAGGCTTCAATTTTGAAAATTTGTATAGATTTTTTTCTTTAAGGTGGCTAAGAAGCAATGGTATTCTTTCCAGCCAACATAAAAAAATACACCTGCAAAAATGTTCAATTCGATTCAAAATTGAACTCTCCAAAAATGAAAAGAATATTCGCCGTTTATTTACGCTGCGGGAGACTCGAAAAATGTTCCCAGCATAAGCATTGGAAGGCTGATCGGTACATCAAGGTGTAACTAATTGTTCATCGTTCGGAACATTATTTTCCCGGCATCGTTCAAAGTGGCCGTGCACCGAGATTGCGCTTCTTTTTAATCCTAGCAGCTTGCTGGCACGACAAAGCGACTCCGTCTTGAAAAAAATCGTAAGGCAACGGGTTAAGATCGTCCGCGGGATCGGAGCGTGTAACTCGTTACAGGTCGACGACCAATTACACTTCCCCCCGCCGCCGCCGGCTTGCGGCCACTTTTCATTTGCTCGTTTTGTTTGCGGGTAAACAAAGGAGAGCACGGCGGAAATCGCAGCGAACGACAGACGGGTGCCTCCCCCGTTGCAGAAGTGCTGCCCGGACTCGTTTATCCCGTTTAATTCGTTTAATTATTCCATTATTAATTACTTCATTAATTACGATCGCGCTCTACTTATTCGGCGACGGCACGTATTACGGGGATTTCGGGAGGGCCGGGACGGGGGATCGTCATAATGCACTTTTAATAATTAACGCGGTAAATAGTAACGCGAATGAATTATTTCGCCTCACGGTTGCCCGGAATGATTGAAATCGTCGGCAAGCGTCGCTCTTCCATCGATTCCCACCTTCTGTCGATCCAAATTGTTCCCTGCCGGCTCACATTATTGCATTCGCTCCGTATTGTTCGAGAATCTTTCGGCTAAAGTGCTCCCAGGAGTTCTGAAATTGTTTGAAATTTGCGATTTTCGAAACTTGGAAAAATCGGGACGAGAAACTAAGTTGAGAATTATTCAATTTTCGGTGTTTTTGTTACAAGGTTATTTTAGTTATTTATTTATTTAACGTCATCTAGACAAATGTAGTTTTAATTTTTGTACAGAAATTCAAAATAATAATGACAATGACGACGATAACGAGCCCGCTTACCGCTCGACTCATACAGTTGTCGAAATACTGTTTGCAACCTTGTTTAAATTATTCTACACGCGAAGGTTGCAAAAAGTTGCACCTAAACTTAATATCCTCTTCTTAGCAATTGTTTAAACTGTCGTGTACAGAACACACTAGTGCTCACACTTCCTTACATTTTTCTTTTTAACTAAAAGTTTAAATTGATATTTAATAACGTCAACGTATCAAATTTTAGTTTTTCTACAAAAATTCATCATTATAATAATGACAACGACTATGACGACGACAACGAGCGTGCTTAATGCTTGACTTATCCAGTCGTCGAAATACTGTTTGCAACCTTGTTTAAATTATTCTACACGCGAAGGTTGCAAAAGGTTGCACCTAAACTTGATATCCTCTTCCTAACAATTGTTTAAACTTTTATGTAAAAAACACTCCGTTGCTCACACATCCTTACATTTTTTGTTAAACTCAAAGTTTAACTTGATATTTAATAACGTCAACGTGCCAAGTTTTAATTTTTCTACAAAAATTCATCATTATAATAATGACAACGATCACGACAACGACAATAAGTGGGCTTGCCGCTTGATTTATCCAATCGTCGAAATACTGTTCGCAACTTTGTTTAAATTATTCTATACGCGAAGGTTGCAAAAAGTTGCAACTAAACTTGACATCGTCTTCTTAGCAATTGTTTAAATTTTCGTGTAAAAGAAACTCTAGTGCTCACACTTCTTTACATTTTTCGTAAAACTCGAATTGCAATCAATGTGACGCTATTTGAATATTCATTCAAATATGATAAAAATATGTACAATAATTTTACAAAAATATGTATCTTACTATATATAAAGCTCGAAAAAATATAATTTCGGACAGAGAAACCGAATTTCCGAACCAGCGTGAGACGCGAGAACTTCGCGGATGTTCGATTCGAGACACGCGTGAGCTCGAATTCCTTGTGTCGAGCAAATCGGAAATCGAGGAGCGTGTCGCTGGGAGTCTTGCCTGTAAGATCGTAAAAGTAAGTCCAGCGATAGGAAAAACGAAGACGCGGGCCAATTGGATTAGATGGGAGCTGACTGACGCCCGACGTTCCATGAAACGAGCGTTCATCGGGGATGGAAGAATGCTGTCCCGCTTCTGGGCCGTTGATTCGCGCGAACTGTTGATCGATGGTCCTTAACGGTGACACTTGTCAGCTGCAATCACAGTTGCCAGGTGGCTTTCGGGTGTTCCAAGTTGCGCGATACTACGGTACCCGCCCTGTCAGCCGGTGAACGAAGATAATTAACCATCGAGTCACCGTTGCATTATTTTTCAAATGGCTCCGATGTCGAAACATTATTCAAACGTTGATGTTGCATCTTTATCTCGTTGAGAAGTATTTCTGTATCTGTAGAATTTCAGCTCTGGATTTGAACGGACGTTGAGCGGTTCAAACTGTTGATTAAGCAGAATTTAAACTGTACATTGAATAGAACTTGAGTTTCGACGGAATTTGAACTGAATTTAAGTAGAATTTAAACAGAAAATAAGCAGAATTTAAACTCTAGATTAAATAGATTTTAATCGGAATTTATAGAAATTTAAAACTGAATTTAAGCTCCAGTTTGAGTAGCATTTGAATTTCGAATTAAGCAGAATTTAAACTGTACTTTGAATAGAACTTGAGTTTCGACGGAATTTGAACTGAATTTAAGTAGAATTTAAACAGAAAACAAGCAGAATTTAAACTGTACTTTGAATAGAACTTGAGTTTCGACGGAATTTGAACTGAATTTAAGTAGAATTTAAACAGAAAACAAGCAGAATTTAAACTGTACTTTGAATAGAACTTGAGTTTCGACGGAATTTGAACTGAATTTAAGTAGAATTTAAACAGAAAACAAGCAGAATTTAAACTCTAGATCAAATAGATTTGAATCAGAATTTATAGAAATTTAAAACTGAATTTAAGCTCTAGTTTGAGTAGCATTTGAATTTCGAATTAAGCAGAATTTAAACTGTACATTGAATAGAACTTGAGTTTCGACGGAATTTGAACTGAATTTAAGTAGAATTTAAACAGAAAACAAGCAGAATTTAAACTCTAGATCAAATAGATTTGAATCAGAATTTATAGAAATTTAAAACTGAATTTAAGCTCTAGTTTGAGTAGCATTTGAATTTCGAATCAAGCAGAATTTTAACTGTGAATTATGTAAAGAGTTAAACATAATCTAGGAAACGTTCAAGTGGTTCAGTGAAAATTTAAGAGATGGGTTACTAATTGTATCGAGTTGTTATTATAAAATATACAATATAAAATTAGAAAATAATTTCATTATCAGTGTTTAATTAACAATTACTGCAATTTCAACTAGTATCAACGTATGAAACTGTATCAGGCTAGTTCAGACACGTGTAAATCAATCCACAAAGTTTCAAAAACATAGGTTACTCGGTTTAACAGAAAAAAAAATGTCTAAAGTACCCAGGAATGATAGATGTGCAAGTTCCTATGTTCGTAGAACAGCCTAAATTTTTTCCAAACTTCGTCCGAATCGTGGGAAGTAGAAATGTCACGTTTTAGTAACTTCTGCCTTTCATGCTCGACGACAAAGCACTCAATTTTGACAAAAGTTGGGTATGCCACACTCTTCCAGTGGTCGTCTTTATTCTCGCGACTTAACTGCTTCCTCTGCTCTTTGTTCTAACGTTCAGTTTTTAGCACGAGTGTACGAAAGTGTAGATTTTCAGATATATATAAAGCAGTTTTTGTACTTTATGTATCTGAAAATCCACACTTTCGTACACTCGTAGGGAAGTGTCTGTATATAAAAGTAGAATAATTCATTCCCGAATTCGACGATCAATAAAATTGAAACTTGCCATAAGCGAAAGTAGAATAATTCGTCTATAAATTAGTCTATCGATGGACTGATAAGTACAAAAATTACTTATCAGTCCATCGATAGACTAATTTATAGACGAATTATTCTACTTTCGCTTATGGCAAGTTTCAATTTTATTGATCGTCGAATTCGGGAATGAATTATTCTACTTTTATATACAGACACTTCCCTACGAGTGTACGAAAGTGTGGATTTTCAGATACATAAAGTACAAAAACTGCTTTATATATATCTGAAAATCTACACTTTCGTACACTCGTGCTAAAAACTGAACGTTAGAACAAAGAGCAGAGGAAGCAGTTAAGTCGCGAGAATAAAGACGACCACTGGAAGAGTGTGGCATACCCAACTTTTGTCAAAATTGAGTGCTTTGTCGTCGAGCATGAAAGGCAGAAGTTACTAAAACGTGACATTTCTACTTCCCACGATTCGGACGAAGTTTGGAAAAAATTTAGGCTGTTCTACGAACATAGGAACTTGCACATCTATCATTCCTGGGTACTTTAGACATTTTTTTTTCTGTTAAACCGAGTAACCTATGTTTTTGAAACTTTGTGGATTGATTTACACGTGTCTGAACTAGCCTGATACAGTTTCATACGTTGATACTAGTTGAAATTGCAGTAATTGTTAATTAAACACTGATAATGAAATTATTTTCTAATTTTATATTGTATATTTTATAATAACAACTCGATACAATTAGTAACCCATCTCTTAAATTTTCACTGAACCACTTGAACGTTTCCTAGATTATGTTTAACTCTTTACATAATTCACAGTTAAAATTCTGCTTGATTCGAAATTCAAATGCTACTCAAACTAGAGCTTAAATTCAGTTTTAAATTTCTATAAATTCTGATTCAAATCTATTTGATCTAGAGTTTAAATTCTGCTTGTTTTCTGTTTAAATTCTACTTAAATTCAGTTCAAATTCCGTCGAAACTCAAGTTCTATTCAATGTACAGTTTAAATTCTGCTTAATTCGAAATTCAAATGCTACTCAAACTAGAGCTTAAATTCAGTTTTAAATTTCTATAAATTCTGATTCAAATCTATTTGATCTAGAGTTTAAATTCTGCTTGTTTTCTGTTTAAATTCTACTTAAATTCAGTTCAAATTCCGTCGAAACTCAAGTTCTATTCAATGTACAGTTTAAATTCTGCTTAATTCGAAATTCAAATGCTACTCAAACTAGAGCTTAAATTCAGTTTTAAATTTCTATAAATTCTGATTCAAATCTATTTGATCTAGAGTTTAAATTCTGCTTGTTTTCTGTTTAAATTCTACTTAAATTCAGTTCAAATTCCGTCGAAACTCAAGTTCTATTCAATGTACAGTTTAAATTCTGCTTAATTCGAAATTCAAATGCTACTCAAACTAGAGCTTAAATTCAGTTTTAAATTTCTATAAATTCTGATTCAAATCTATTTGATCTAGAGTTTAAATTCTGCTTGTTTTCTGTTTAAATTCTACTTAAATTCAGTTCAAATTCCGTCGAAACTCAAGTTCTATTCAATGTACAGTTTAAATTCTGCTTAATTCGAAATTCAAATGCTACTCAAACTGGAGCTTAAATTCAGTTTTAAATTTCTATAAATTCTGATT